GTAGAATATAAAACTCTATTTCATTAGCCAAAGAAGGTATAGAATAGTAGAATATAAAACTCTATTTCATTAGCCAAAGAAGGTACAGAAACAGTAGGATATAAAACTCTATTTCATTAGCCAAATAAGATACAGAATAGTAGAATATAAAACTCTATTTCATTAGCCAAAGAAGGTATAGAATAGTAGAATATAAAACTCTATTTCATTAGCCAAAGAAGGTACAGAAACAGTAGGATATAAAATTCTATTTCATTAGCCAAAGAAGGTACAGAATAGTAGAATATAAAACTCTATTTCATTAGCCAAAGAAGGTACAGAAACCGTAGGATATAAAATTCTATTTCATTAGCCAAAGAAGGTACAGAATAGTAGAATATAAAACTCTATTTCATTAGCCAAAGAAGGTACAGAAACAGTAGGATATAAAATTCTATTTCATTAGCCAAAGAAGGTACAGAAACAGTAGGATATAAAATTCTATTTCATTAGCCAAAGAAGGTACAGAATAGTAGAATATAAAACTCTATTTCATTAGCCAAAGAAGGTACAGAAACAGTAGGATATAAAATTCTATTTCATTAGCCAAAGAAGGTACAGAATAGTAGGATATAAAACTCTATTTCATTAGCCAAAGAAGGTATAGAATAGTAGAATATAAAACTCTATTTCATTAGCCAAATAAGATATAGAATAGTAGAATATAAAACTCTATTTCATTAGCCAAATAAGATATAGAATAGTAGAATATAAAACTCTATTTCATTAGCCAAATAAGATATAGAATAGTAGAATATAAAACTCTATTTCATTAGCCAAATAAAGTACAGAACAGTACGATATAAAACTCTATTTCATTAGCCAAAGAAGGTACAATAGGACATAAAATAAGTTCATTTCATTTATAAACCCAATAAGCAGGACAATTTATTTCATTATCGCTTTTTTTATTTCATTTTATTTGCGCAAAAAGAATTGGAAGATATTAGATCCCATTCCATTTCATAAGAGTTATAAGATTGTTATTATTTCATTCATTAGCCCTATATATAAAAATTAGTGACGCAGACTGAAATAGGTCAGTTGTCTGAAGATCGCATAGCGTGAAACTCTGAGTAATAACAACATTTTTTAGTTTCTGTTTTAATATTTCTAAGAATTAGGACTCATTTTGTTTTTAATTGCAAAATTCAATTTTGTTTAAATTACAGGGCGTATCTTTAGATGATTTGGAAAAGGCTGAAGAATCTTTAAAATCATCAGACGACAAAAAACAGATTGATCGTAAAAATTCTCAAGATCAACCAGATGCTATTAGTCGAGTCAGTGGAATTTCTTCCTCCAAATCAGAAGAGTCGTCAACCTATACTCCCTCCACCAGAAGGAGAGCTTGGGACGATAGGAAAGAGGTAAATTGTTTTAGTTTTATATAGCGGAGAACCTCTTAATCTCTGACTACATTGAGCTGTGAATTTTTTGAATTTTTTTTATTCATGAATATTCAAAATAACATTTTCAACTGCCAATTGTCTTAGAATGTCTTCGGGTCCATAGAAAATGACCTACTTTTGGAACTGAAAATTTCCCTTCTGTAAAATCAGGTTTACAAATAATACCTTTTCCAGTGGTTAAAATTTTCATCAACCCAAAGGCAATCCGCAACTCTCAGTAGTATTTTGTAATTGATATTTCAATTTATAGGCCATTTACATGTAAATAACTTCATATGAGGTGATTAAATTTAACCAGGGGCATGTTGTTTTGTCAGTCACTAGGTTTACCAGCCACAGTGAAACAAAGTGGGTTATAATCACCTGGACAAAATCAATGGCAGCTGGTAGAAAGAATTCGATTGTTGTTTCTTTCTTTTCATTGATTAAAAGTTAAAATATTTGTTAATATTTGACAGGATGAACCTGTAACGAGATCTAGTATACGGAGGTCACGTGACCCAACTAATAGTACTTATTCTTCAGATTATACTTCAGGTAAGAGGGGTCACATCTTCATAATGTCAAGCTATTATGAACTTAGTACATGAATCTTTAATGCAATAGCCACTATTCTTGTATCTTGGAATAATACAATTTCATTGGATTGTATGTATGTATTCACAGACTTTCTGTTGTATTCGCAAACGAACAATCCAATCAAATCGCTTCATTTACTCACTTCTGTTATACAAGAAAGGTGACTGTTGCAGTCAAGTACGAAGTTCGTAATAGCTTGACATTGTGAAAATGAAGGGGTCAGGAGAGTCTTGAGCAGGGTAAGGGCTTTCGTTGGAAAGGAAGCTGTGGCAACACCTTACATTAATTGCAACTTCTTTTACTGAATCAGAATTAGATCACTTACTAAAAAGATGATGATTAAAAGAAGCAGAAGAGATGGAAAAAAAACCTTATGGTAACACATGTCTTATTAAAAGCTTTGACTAATGTTGCTCTGACTTATATAATTTGGCTTTGATTGCTGTTAGGAGAGGAATACTTCAGCTTTCTCCACATGATTGTAACAATTGATATTTTCAACTTTCAGCGTATATACCTCGCAGTCAGCGTAATGCATTATCAACTTCTGACTTAAATAATACATCATCTAGTCTAGAGGGTAGTTCTAATCTATCTCGTACCAGTTCTCTTCGAAGTCGCTTACGTAATGGTGAAGTTGAAACATCAGGAGATGCTAAAGATACAACAGATGACAGAAAAGGTTGGTATCTTCTTTCATTTTCCCAAAAGAGGTCAAGAAAAAATCTTCGGATATTTCTCCCTGCTGTGATGTCGGTGTGGTGACATAAGCCCCTGTATGCTTCCATTAACTGTTTGATATTGAAAAAGAATAAACTTATGCTGCTGTCCCGGCAAAATTTCCCTCATGGCACACCGCATGGTGTTGGCGTTTCAGGAAGAACTTTTATTTCATTTCAAGTTTTTGAATTTAATGCAATCTTGATAAACTTGTATGTACGCAACAAGGATATATTTTTGTGAATTGAAATATTTTAGGATTGATAGCCTTTGAAAAGTTGTACACAAATCATAAATTATGTGTTTAGATATTAGGCTCGGAAGGTATCAGCCCTGGATCATAGGATTTTGTTTATTTCAGAAAAATCTAGTAGTGAAAGAGACACACCAGACGGCGAGAAGAAAGAGACTTCTGCTATAAGAGCCAGGAGAGCCAGACGTGAACGAAGGTCAACTGGTATCGTTAATTATAGTCCTGAGGTTAGTTGGGATATTTTATACAAACAACTGTTTTTAAGGAGGATAACCATTTCGATTCTCAAAGATCCTGGATGATTTTCCTCTGCATTAGCTATGGGTATTTTTCCTTTTTTGGATCATCCTGATTATAAGAGGTTTTCCTTATATGTGCAAATGTTTTTGTGCAAAAAAGACATGGTATCCCTTTTCTTTACTATACTGTATCTCTTATGCCACTTGAAATTGCCTTTCTTCATAAGCTCAATTATCTAGATTGTTTGTGCTAAATATATATTTGATTGTTCTAATTTTAGAATGAAGAAGGAGAGAAAGAAAAAGAAAATAAACCAGAAGATGAAAAGAAAGAACAAGATGTAAGTCATGTTTTATTTTCTCTTTAATTCTAATTAGACAGAATTACAATGATTAGACCGAATCAGGAATTCCATCTAGACCAATTTCCAATTCAACTCAATTCCAATATGATCAGCTTGAATTCAAATTCAATCACATTCCAATTAGGTTGAATTCCAAATAGACTACATTCCAATTAGGTTTAATTTTAATTAGATTGCATTTCAATTAGGTTGAATTTTGATTAGATCACATTCCAATTAGATTTCGTTCTAAATAGACTACATTCCAATTAGGTTGAATTCCAAATAGACTACATTCCAATTAGGTTGAATTTTAATAAGATCACATTCCAACTAGACTGAATTCTAATTAGACTGGATACATGATTGTCAATCTACAGAAAGGCAAATATACTGATAAAACTTCACAATCACTGACAGTTGTAGGTTTTTGTTGCTTTAACAATGAACTATCTGATGTCTCTCGGCCAAGACATTGTATTCAGTAAATTAACTCATTTTTACATCATCATAAGATACAATACTGATCACCTTTGATTAAATTTTTGGAAATATTTGAAAGCAAATTTTTGTTTTTGTAAATCTGTATTTGCTTGTGTTCAGTCATTTAAATAAGTCAGGAAACTTAGTGTTAGTAGAATATTTCTAGAGCTGTATTTGTCTTCAAAAATGTGATGTTCCTCTGTTGGTTTGCTAAATTTTGGGTAAAAACTATACTTTACATCAGTTGTCAGTTCTACATTCCTGCAGAGTGTCCACATACTTTCTCATGTTTTATTTAGTGTTTTATCTATATCGAAGTATTACAGCAAATATAAATATTATTATTTGATTAGGCCAAGATAATTGATGAATTACCTATACCTTGTTAATAGAATGAGCTGTGTGAATTCTTAAAAACTCAAATTAGGGGTTTAACTTTTTCCAATATTTTTCAATCAACTTCACAATGAGATATAATTCTTGATGAGATTGTTATCTATACTTGAACCAGACCTCAAAAAAAATATTTTAACAACCGGCCTTCAGTAATGTGGTTTCCCACTGTTGGTTTGCTACATATTGAGTAAAATTTAACCCTTTCTTCAGTTTTGATAATTTAGGATGTTATATAATTTTTGATGAGATATTCTCTATAAGAGAGCCGGACTTCCAAAATTAAAATTCTACTATCTGTATGTCAACATGATAAGTGATCATTGATATCAGACACTATTGACAGATATTAGCTAATCAAACAATGTATATTATATAGATAAAGCTATAGAGTGTAGACAAGTGGGATTATTCTTGAATTAAACTAGGGGTGAAACAAGGTTACTCTCTGACACCTTCATTCTTTATATTATTTATACAAATTATTGAACATAAAACAGGGTGGGTTCATAATACAAGACAGGTCAATACCTTGTGTTGTTTTAACTAATTGTAGAGGAACTGGCTTGTAGGGGATATGGGTTGTAGAGGAAATGGGTTGTAAGGGAAATGGGTTGTAGAGGAAATTGGTTGTAGAGGAAATGGGTTGTAAAGGAACTGGGTTGTAGAGGAAATTGGTTGTAGAGGAAATTGGTTGTAGGAGAACTGGGTTGTAGAGGAACTGTGTTGTAGAGGAACTGGGTTGTAGAGGAACTGGGTTGTAGAGGATAATGGTTGTAGAGGAACTGGGTTGTAGAGGAAATGGGTTGTAGGGGAACTGGGTTGTAGGTGAAATCGGTTGTAGGGGTTTTGGGAGATAACCCTTTATGGATAATAGTTGTTGCTTCATTACCAATGTAACATGTTGACAATAGTACTCGCCTCTTTATCAAGCAATGTCTTTTGAATTCAAACTGCAATTACTCCCATCAGGAGCTGTAGAATATTCACGATTTTCAAACCAGGACAGACGTTTGCCATTTTATGTTATGTGTTCATAACTTCAACAAACACACAAAACTGTTACAAAAAATATGTACATGCAACTCCTTTTGCTTGAAAGTCTTTTTGATTAGTTAAAAAGTGAACTGCAGGGAGTCTACAATCACAAACTGATATTTATGCCTCCAATCAGACAATACTGGCTAATACAGCTAAATCAACATCCCTTCAGTTGAGGAATATCTAGGTTGAAAGATTGCCTCAAATCTTAATCTACATTGTCAATATTGACTTGGAATTTCTCCAATTATATTTATGGTTTTCAGTGTACACATAGGCTTTGTTTGTCAAGAGGATTTTCGTTTGATTAATGTTATCCATATAAAACTCATATATATATTCCCTTAGTGCACACTGCATGGAGTGGCCCATCTTGATAAGCCCAATCATAGGGCATAAAAGTTTAGGTAGACAATAGATATCAATGGTAATTAACAAGGTTCAATATTGTCCATGTGCAAACTGTATAACCCCTATTCATTAGCCCTATCATGGAGCAGAATAGTGGAATGTTCAAAGTTTAGGGCAACCTGTGTTCTTATGTAGACAATAGATATCAATGGTGATTATCGAGGTTCAATATTGTCCGTGTGCAAACTATATAACCTCTAGGTATTCATTAGCCCCTATCATGGAGCAGAATAGTGGAATGTTCAAAGTTTAGGGCAACCTGTGTTCTTAAGTAGACAATAGATGTCAATGGTGATTATCGAGGTTCAATATTGTCCATGTGCAAACTGTATAATCCCTATTCATTAGCCCTATCATGGAGCAGAATAGTGGAATGTTCAAAGTTTAGGGTAACCTGTGTTATAATGTAGACAATAGTGGTGATTAACAAGGTTCTATTCCTATATCATATATCTATAACAGTTAGACTATTAGTTTCATAACAATAACCTCATTCAATCTCCTCTCAAATCTGAAGGTTAAAGTCAGAACATTATCCGTATAGAATGCTGATTTTGTGTGTAAATGCCCCTTTGCCCCTTCTCTACCTTCACTGGTGCCGTCACTGTTTGTGTACTTTTGATTTTAAACCTTATATACTTAGTAGTAATTCTAATGCTCTATTTAAAAGGGTAAGGTTCAAGAAATGTTCTCATAATTTGTTATGTTGTTAACTTGCCCTTGGTCATGTTCTACAGAAAAGTGAGACAGGGGATAAATAATAATGTATTGTAAATTAAGTATATTTTTCAAGAAATTTTTATATTATATATTATATGTACCAATTGTTAGAGCATAGCCCTTGTTTTACTACAGTGGTTCCAAACCTTTTCAACCTTTACACCCTGGAGCAATCATACCCCAAAAATTGGTTTCATCCACATTTACAGCATGTGATGATGGGAGGTGCTCTCTCAATTCTAAATAGGTATTTCTCATACACCAGTTGGCCACACCCCTGACACTCTAGTCCCACACCCCCACAGGGTGAAAACACCCCAGGTTGGGAACCAGGGTTCTACTATAATTATTGTCAATTAAGTATATGTTAATTGCTGAATATTTATTTTGTGAATTTTCTACAGGCTTTGGTGTTGGATAGATTA